TATTAATGACTACTGGCCTAGTCAATGTAATATTTTTATCAATGTAATCTGTCTTAAATAGTATAAATTAAACTCATTGACTGAAAGTTTGGTGTGGCTAGTCTAATCACTTGACCATCAATAATATTATTAGAGTTTTTATTTACCAGTGCAGCTCGTCAATCATGTAGATTACGTGCAATCTGTATATTAGTAAGCACATATTTGATATATTTAGGATAAAGCCGTTTAAGCTGTATTAAATTGTTATCTTGATTTGGGTTCGAGCTTTTTTACAAACACAATGAAATAAATTTAGTTGTTTCTAGGCCGCCCGGTCTTTATTTTAAGGCACGTAAGTTTTTCGCAAAGTTTCTTTGTAAAAGTTGCATGAAAGAATTGGAATGAGTCATTAATTTTGATGTGCTTAGATTAATTAGAAACTAAAAAAAATAGATTTTAACACATTTTTAAATCTTTATTTTCTCTCAGATTTGATTATTCCACAATTTCTATTAGAATTTATTTTATTTAGGTATCTCTGCTGATATAACAACTTTCTTTAACCTAGCTTTTAGTGAAGTGGCCTTATTAAACTCATTAAAATTTATCGCTGGTTAACTTTTGCTTTATATATAGTCCTACCTATTTTAGGAGAATATTCTCATTTGGCCCCTTTCCTAATCCACACAATATTCCATTCGTTTAGTCACGCTCCCGACACGAGGACCCTGATCAGTTACGTGTCCGTGAGATGGCTCGGCGCATCGCTAATGAGAACTACGAACGTGAAAAGCAGCGTCAGGCCAATCTTACAGCACTTAGCGCTATCGGACCTCAACGTAAGCGCAAATTCGATAGCTTCGATGACACTTCTCATGATGCTTCGGGCCCTGCTGGTTTGGGTTTCTCAAGCGTCCGAGGCGTCGATGGTATTGAGTCGCGTCTTGCCTATGCTACTGCCGACCAATTTGCCTCCCCCAGTTCTGGATTGCTACTTTCAACATCAGCCTCCGCTTCCTCCAACTTTTCTGGCGGGTCAGATAATCAGGATAATTTTACTAGTCTATACCCACTCACAATAGGTGGTGTCGCCATCTCATCTGGTGGAATGGGCTCTGCAGGCTCAGCAAACAGTTCCAGCGGTAGTGCTGGCCCCTCAACAGGCCTGGCCGACGGAGGTGATGGCGTTGTTTCAGGATCCAGTTTCAATTTGGCCAGCACACTCAGGGTTCGTCGCGCGAACCTGCGTGATATGCAGCTTGTCTTTTCCAAGGATGCCAGATTGCGTCGTTCGCGAACCTATTATAAAACCTTCTGGAGGATTCCTTGATTTATCTTTCGAACTTTTCTGATACCTCTATATAAGACTTTATATTCTCGGCCATGCAATCAGGCCAATGAATCTGTTTGTGCCACCATTGTCCGTTCGATGCCTTAGCCGATCGTCCCGCGCGCTCACTTCCATGCCTCTGATTAGTCGCGAGTCGATGTTGTACATACTAAGAACACCCCTCTGATAACTTGTATATTGGCTGATATTTTCTACTTTTTTCTTGCTTTGAACATTATACTGTATAAACTCGCCCCTACGATTGTCTTGCCCTATGGCGTAAGATTATGGACGAACTCGGACAGATTTATATACTTGCCAATTTATCAATATGCCCTGGCTGTGCTGCATAAGAATCTGCCCTAACTCCTCTCGTATAGTGTATTTTCCAAACGACGAGGTGATTCTTCCCCAATACGACTTTTCTGATTGCCTGCATAGCCTTTTCCATGTGTTCAGTTTTGTCACACTGTTGTGGACCGTCAAAGTATATGGTCATATCTTAAGCTGTAAGTTCAGGAGAGCGATATGCGATATCCTTATTCTTATCTGCCCACCTATCCAGCCATTTATTGGCTCAATTATTACACCTTCCAAACCTTGATTCTGGACACAAGTTTTAGCCTTCATTGTGAATGCATTTCTCAAATTGTATACAGTTACCATGTTTTTATTTTTCTAACAGTCAAGAATATTATATATTTTTTTCTCCACTTTTTGATAGACAATTTTAATGCCCAATATTTTTTACTGCTGGGCCATTTCTCTTACCGCTTTTTCTCGGCCACTCACATGGTAGATGGTGCCAATGATGTGCTCGTCATATTTATGCTTAAAAGCAAACTGGGCTACCTCATAGTTGTATGTAAATTGTGAGATGACTTTAAACTTACCTATTTATACGCAACTTTACTCTAATTATTCGGGATTACCAGCATTATACGTCGCATACAAATGTGGGAAAGCTAAAACTTATTTTTCTTTGAAAACTAACAACTCCATGAACTGCTATTTATTTGAAAGAAGGATGAATGTTGCTTAAGAATAAAATTTGGTAAATGCACTCATTCTGTCGTCCATAAATTGTTCAAAAGATTAGTGTTGTAGAATCTATCACTAGTCATGGTAAGCCGCACTCTTCGGTGTGCTAATCAAGATTAGAGACAACTCAGAACTTACGGATGCCTTTTGACGATCTTTTGGTTCTTAGCCCATACTAGTGGTTTTAATTTTTGCTTGAATCGATTTCATTCATGCTGCATACCCAACTGGAATATAAATTGGAGTGAGACTTGATTCCTCAATATATTAAAATATTTTCTAGTCAATTAATTCACTTCATGTGCTTAACTTTTGCACGTCAAAAAGACATTGAAGATGTGTGCTGAGCTGGGGACTTATTCAGGAGTCTAGCTGACCCATTTAATGCATCTTTGGGATCAAATGAAATTGTACCGAGCCTTAAATATTCATTCAGCAAGGCTTCCTGGAGGTATGCATTCTTGTGATAGTTAGAACAAACCTAATATGTATCAAATTTCATTTAATGTTATATAGAAGTACCCAATAGTCAAGGTGATTGGAATACTGAAGACCATGCTTTAATAATTTCTTACGGAGGAGGAGATCGACAGATTCTGAATTCGTTCAACACACGATCAGTGGCTGAATCTCCTAAATCGCAGTTAGTAGATATTCCTTATTTCCTACCAACTAGCCCATAGACTCCGATCAATATTGAGAAAGTGGAACATTTAGGGGATTACAAAAAAAGTTATACTTCAAGCTCACCTACACAAGATGGGAATACTTCCAAAGTGGATTGCTTGCGAGCATATTTCATAACATGCAGCGGTTGTGTAAATTATTGTATTAGCGAAATGGGAATAAAAATTAGCCAGCCTACGGCTCTGCAGAAAAATCGACAGAGATAGGGAAAAAATAAAGGGACATTCCAAAGACTCGACACGAGATCAACGGAAAGAATGACCCTATTCCTTGAAAATACAATGAAACGAGATTTCAGGACTGTCGTCTGTGACCTTGCTGAAGAACATTTAATGAAGGGGAGGTTGGAACGATGCAGAACTAATGGCAACTTTGTTTAATGCTTGGGAAAACTTCAAACAAACCAGGAAATAGCGAGATTAGCAAAAATTAGAGACTCGGATCAAGAATGAACTTTGAAATAGGCAAAAGGGATCGAATGAATGGTGAAGAACGTTTAAAAAATCGAGAGAAGACGTTTACGGCCTTTGATGTTATTGCTCTCAATTGAGTAGCTTACGAATAGTTAGAACTATCACATAATTTTGTCTCTGCTTAGAGTGTCGAAGACACTTCTACTTCAAATCTATTCGAACTGAAATGAAGACAAGAGAGATTCTCAGTTGACCCATAGTACACCTCTTGAATTAGTGAGATGGCCCATTGAGGCAATTTACTGGCGATAAAATTACCTCTGAACACGAGCCAAATGCAGATGGGTTTAAGTACTGAGACAAGCTTCTCTATACCGCAGGTGTGCGTAATTTCGGTAATCAGTTTCGCAGTCTTGCTCAGTGAGTCATCGTATACGTGGGATTAAATGCTCGTTTAAACAATGGGAAATAGTTTTGAGAACGGGCACGGTGGCTGGAACCGGGGCAAGTCAGTCATCAAGCTGAGCTTCGGGGTCACGAGATGAATGAAGTAGCTTGCGACTGAAAAAGTCCATGTCGGAGTAACGATTTCGGAGAATCAAGAGAGGGGGCAAACTGAACCAGCTCAAAGTGTGATAATGCGCTCTTAAAAGGCAACACCTTTGTAGAAATCAAGTATGATCAGGGAGGAATTAGTGATTGAGAGGGAATGAATTACGGAGATAGGCGCTAGGTAGATGCACTAATATAGCTGGAATGTTTGGTTGAAGGTTCGAGGACTGGATTTCACACGTATTGGGCGAGTTGTAGCTTCTGTCCAGAATGGCTACAAATGGATAGCAACATCATACCATCAGTAAGGCACTGTATCTTATCTAGTTGGTCTCTAAAATGTAATTTCTATTCTAAATAACGGTCGCACACGAGATATAATTATCCTTTTGAATTTCATATATATTTTTTCTCGTAAAAAACACGATCACAATTTTTAACAACTTTATAGCTTGCTACTATTGTAAAACCATTGGGATTATGGTCTTGCTACCGAAATTGGAAGTGTCTTTCATTATGCTGAACCTAATTATTGACCTATACCTCATTAATATTATATTGCATTTCAGATTAATAAAGAGTACCTTTTTACTCTGATAGAAGCCCTGAACTTAGACATTTACACTTATCTCCCATTGACTGTTCCTTCTAAAATTTAATTGAAAATCTAACATCGAGACTATTCGACACTTAAACCCGCATTGATTCAATATTTCAGAAAATTGTTTTCAGTATTTTTATACACCTTATAATTTAAATTTCCATGGAAATTTTGATTATTTCTCATATAAATATGCAGGTAGGCTTTTATCGCCTTGCCAACTCCCCAAAATACCGATTTAGTTCAAGCACCACTATTCAAACGTTAAAAGCTATAGTATTAAGTATGTTTTAACGATTTCGGGAGCTTGTAATTATCTCCCACAGGTACTCAAAAATCTTACATGTCTATGGTAATTCCAGAGATACTCAATGCACATACTTGAGATGATCACTTTCGGAATTCATTAATAGCATATGTGGTAAAATCTGTCTGTGTTACATGGGCAGAGAGGAAGATATATAAGAGATTTGGATTAAGAAAAATCATTCAGCCCTTATTTTTATCAGACAAGCGCAGTTGGCTGGTAGATAGAAATCGTCGTTACACTGTTTTCTAAAGTTATGATGGTTAATATTTATAAATACTCCTATGGTATACATAGAATAAATGTGTATTAAAATGTTTGCCTGATTTTGTTTACTCAAGAAGCAGTCTGGAAAATAAATTAAGGAATTATATTGATTTCTTAAGAGAAGTTTAACGCATTTAACATTTCTTACTTACTATTGCATTTAATATTTCATATATCATTTAATAAAGTTCTAGTTAAGAAAAGGAAGCACCAAGTTATGAATAAATGAGGTAGAGCAGAATAAAATAGATACTGATAATCAGAAGGTTTAATACTGTAAGGTTTGTTTGAGCTAATTTTTGCAATTTGGTCGGATCCGACATTGAAACTATGTGAAACGTAATTAGTCCTACATCCTTTGCCATAGCATTCATCATGACTATGGCATGAATTTCCATTTCGAAGGGAAAGGTGGTTGGAAAGAATTAATGATGTAGTCTCACCGGAAAACGAAGGGTTGCCGAACCATACATATAAAGTTCAAATATGAGTTATTAAGTCTATGCTGATAAGGAGTCTGAATCTGGTAGATGCAAACCATAGGAACCAGAAGATTGGTAGATTGAGGGATATAATATATTAAAAACAATTACCCATTAGGATTAGTGCAAAATTACGTTTTAATTGTGGTTAACAAGATTAATGGAGTTTGCTATTAGGCGCGGGACAGGCATCTGAAAAATTCAACTCGGTTCCCAATCTCGCCTTCCAGTCAGCTTGCGAAAGGGTTGGGTGAACTACTGAGGAAATGGAACATAATAACAATGTATAAAGGGAAATAAATACTTTCTTTAGTAGTTACTTTGTCTATAGAATACTCAAGACCCTCTTTCTGGATCAGGCTGTTTCAAGGTTGTGTGTTCATGTGGTAAGGTATATGTGGGGGATACCTGCCGATCCATTCACAAGGGACTATGCTGACACAAAACCGATTGTAAAGGTCTGCAGGTCCAAAAATCTGAGCTTGCTGATCACATTTTGCCAATACAGGACACTCAGTAGACTGGTCCAAAACATAATGTTTTACGGGTTACGGGGACTTCACATCAAAAGCGTAGGATTAGGGAGTCTATAAAATTAACAAAACAGCCAACTTTTAGTGTTCGTTGGATAGACCTAAGGAAAGGCAGAG